GACCACCTGTAGTTTAGATGTGTAGTTTAGATATATCCATGTGTAGTTTAGATGTGTAGTTTAGATGTGTAGTTTAGATGTGTAGTTTAGATGTGTAGTTTAGATATATCCAGCTGTAGTTTGGATGTGTAGTTTATGTACAGTCTGGTCTTTCTGTCTCCTGTGAACACCAGGTCCCTGTGCTGATGTGAGGACCACCTGTAGTTTAGATGTGTAGTTTACATACAGTCTGGTCTTTCTGTCTCCTGTGAACACCAGGTCCCTGTGCTGATGTGAGGACCACCTGTGGACCTTCCTCCTGGTCCTCGCCCACTGTGACCCGCTGCCCGGCCAGCACCGTGAGGTTCTGAACCACCTCCCACCATGTGTGATAACGGAGACCCAGAGGACAAGCCCCCAGCCCCTCCCGTCAGGGTCACCAGCACCATCTTTGGCACCGGCGTCAGCAAAGACTCGTTTTCAACCAACCACAGCTCCAAACCACTACCGTCTGTCCCCGAGGAGAGGAAACCTCGCAAAGGCTTTTCTATCTTCTCAGTGGCTGAAAAAGGTGCAGCGAATGGTCCACTGTTCACAATTATTACAACCTGAAACCACTGCTGTGCTTCTGTTGTTTTTCTTCATTTATAGTTCTGTTGTACTTTCAGGGGGTAGGAAGAAAGATCGAGACAAAGAGCGACCAGAGATATCTCCACCTTCAGATTTTGAACACACCATACATGTGGGCTTTGATGCTGTAACAGGAGAGTTCACGGTGTGTTCTCACTAACTGAACACTCCTACTTGTGTAGTTTTTCACCAAACTGCTGCTTACTGGGTTGTCCTGTGTGCAGGGTATGCCAGAGCAATGGGCTCGACTACTCCAGAAGTCAAACATCACAAAGTCTGAGCAGAAGAAAAACCCCCAGGCTGTGCTTGATGTTCTCAAGTTCTTCGACTCTACAGGCAACAGTCGACAGAAGTACCTCAGCTTCTCCTCCTCTGGTGAGAAACTAACTGTTGTGTTGTCATCACTAGCTGTGTTTCCATTGAACAAATTTATTTACGAAATTCTAATTAGCGTATTTTCATGGTGAATGGAAACACAGCTAACGACTGTAAACAGAGTGACTAACTGTTGTTTTTTCCTAATAGAAAAAGATAATTTCACTCCAGGACCTCAGTCCGTACGTATTTCTAAACTCTCAGTATTTCCTGTTGTTATCTTCAGCCTCTGTCTTCAAACATTTAAACAACTTTTGTTTTCTGACTTTTAAAAAGCCTGTTAAAAAAAGCCCTGAACCTTCGTCTCCCAACATCAAAGACATTGATGACGACGATGATGATGAAGCTCCTCCTCCTATTGTGGCGCCGAGACCAGAACATACAAAGAGTGTATGTAACCTTCTGTCGATGGTGTACATATGGTTTTAACTCAGATTTATTTTCTAATTCAGGAGGTTTGTGTTGTTTTGTGTTGTTGCTCCTGCGTGTTGTACAGATGTACACCCGTTCTGTTGTTGAGCCCATCCCCGCTCCAAGCACGTGTCCCGATGGTGACACTGCATCCAAGAGCGCAGACAGACAGAGGAAGAAGAGCAAGATGACGGACGAGGAGATCATGGACAGACTGAGTGTGTTTTTTAAAATGATTACATCAGAATGATCAGAAACACAAAGCAGCTGACCTCTTCTACGTCTGACCTACAGGAACCATCGTCAGCATCGGGGATCCCAAGAAGAAGTACACACGATATGAAAAGATCGGTCAGGGGTGAGTTCACATCTGCTCGTGTTCAGTGTGTGCTCTGCTCCAACACACCTGGTTCAGGAAGTAAATTACCTCTTCAGGTTCTGCAGAAGCCTCTTATTCATCCTTTCAATCAAACCAGGGCTGTGTCCAAAACAACAGGCCGGGTCCTCCAGAGGACCCAGACTCCCCGGTCGCGGCGGGCCGGGTCCTTGGTAGACCGGACAAAAAGTGTCTGTGAATTTGGACGGTCTAGCCTCCCGTCCTTACCTCGGCGTACGTCTTGTCACCTAGCAACTGTGACGACGCTAAACAAGCAAACTTAAATCAAAACTAGAAAATTATCAATACATTAGCATTATTAATATCACAAAACTATAAAATTAACTTAAAAGAACTAATTGACCCGCTGTAGGTT